TCATTCATAAAAGGTGACAATGTTCTTAGCAATCAGCCAACAACGTCACCTTATCCACACAACCTCTACTATGACGGCTATATGCCCGATATTGGGAAAGCAATATGTCATGCGGTTTGTATGTAAGCAGTTAGCTATTACTCAAATTTTGAATTGCTTAACCTAATTACCTAATCGAGTAGAATATTGCTTAATTAACCTAATTCCTTTGTCATTCACGTTTGATTTGTATAGGCTTGTTGAAGGAAACCCCTTACAACTTTGCAATAATGTTCTTTACATGAAAATTTTGAAGTAAATAAAACCGTAACATTTCAATGTTAAGAAAAATTACATTTATTGGGATTAATGGTAGTTTGTTGTTGAGATGACTGGTCCATAAGAGCATCTGCAACGATGAGGGTCAATTCAATTTTATTTCAATAAATTGAACTTTTGACTTGCAGTGTTAAAGTTCAGTACATTTCAGAGATCAATATTTCATTTCAAGGATCAATAGTTCATTTCAGATGTTAATAAAATGAATTTTGAAATGAAATTCATTTCAATAAGCTGATCCACCATTACAACTCTACATCCTCTCTCTTATCGACACATGAAGAACATTATTTTTGCCTTTTAATTTTTCCATTACATTTAATTTAAACTAGCCGTTAAGTTTTTTTTCCCCAAAGATTTCATTGATTTGTATACTAGCCTCTCTCTTATTGATTTGGTGAGGCATTACTCTGCTGCATGCTACAATACGAATTTTAGATTTTTATTTATTTATTAAACCTATGTTTTGGTTTTAATTTTTTTAGAGTTTATAGGTGTATTAAAAATTTTGCTTGGTTTCAATGTGGTCAAGTCTTTTTGTTTTGGTTTCTATGTGGTCAAGTCTTTGTTTTGATTTCTATGTGGTCAAGTCTTTGTTTTTGTTAATGTATGCATTTTGAGTATTTCTTTTGGCTTCCCTTGACAATTTTGTAATAGGATTTTTATTGTTTTTATCAAGCTCAAGTTTAGATTAAGAATAGCTTCTCTAGGTGTTCTTAACTATCAACTATCCTATGGAGGTTCAAGCAAATTGACAAAGGTAAATTGTGCATTGCATCACATTGCATTAAATTGATTTCATAAAATGATGACTAGTCATCTGTTTCTCGTATGACTAGTCATCCTTGCTCTGTAGGATTTCCAGCTGGACCACCAACTTTTTTGTCCTATTCTCCATACCTTCTCTGCTGCCATGTGTCGATTCTGACCTAAGGAATTTTGTGTAAAAACCTCTGTATTCCTCTTTTGGCTGCTGTGACTTTGGTAGGCAAGTTTTGAAAAGTTTTCTTGGAAACTATCGTTTCTTCCTCAAGAGCCACCTTCATATTTTTCATCTTTGAGTTTTCCAAATTGTTTCTTTTTGAAAACTGCATTTGAAAAATGGAAATCTGCATCTAGCTAATTAAAACACTCTCTCATTTATATCTAGGTCAGATTCAAGACTGATTTCTTCAAGAGTATGATTTTTTGAAGAAATTAGTCATTCTCCTTTGAATCCAAATTTTGGTTTCAATCTGAGTTAGAGCTTGCAAGCTAGTGACATGGGATGAAAGAGCTGGAGAAGGAGCTGCCATTTCCATGAAGAACTGAGCTTGAAGCTTTGCTAAGTTGGAGAAGAAGATTGCACAAAGGAGGTCTAGCTCATCTTCCTAAATAGATCTAGGTTTTTCTTGAGCTTGCTTGTGTTTCTTTGTAAGAATCTTTTTCTACTTAGTGGATTGCCTGGTCAGTTGATGACCCCCAATTTTTCCCAATGGTGAGTTTCTGGGTGAACAAATTTCTGGTTTGCATATCTGACTTTTTTGGTTTTGTGTTCTTGACGGTTGACTAGTCATCGTATGAATTATGGGTTTGTGTTCTTGGTGGTTGACTAGTCATCGCATGAATTCTGGGTTTGTGTTCTTGGTGGTTGACTAGTCATCGTATGAATTCTGGGTTTGTATTCTTGGTGGTTGACTAGTCATTGTATGAATTCTGGGTTTGTTCTTGGTGGTTGACTAGGCATCATATGAATTCTGGGTTTGTGTCTTTGTAGTTGACTAGTCATCATTATTTGATGTTTGGTATTTACTTGATTATGATGATTTCACACACTTCCACCATAGTTGTTGCTAGCACAGGGGATGCCTAGATTGACGGGTCCTTCTGAGTGCCTAGGTTGTCACTAGTAATTTTCTAGGGTTGTAGGTACATTGTGGCATGCTCTGTGTGTATTCTATGTTGTGGTTGTTCATGACTAGCAGTTGACTAGTCATAAGTGTATTTGGTCAAGGTCTAAAGTGTGTGAAGATTGTTGTGTTTTGTTTAAGTGTCGTAAAATTTACCTCTCGTCACCTAAGTACCAATTTCAATTTTGGCTTCCATGCTTTGAATTTATGCATGCTTAACCAGATTCAATTTTGCTTATTCATATTCAATTTTGTTATGCAATAACCTGAAAAGGAGTTGCTTTGATGTGTTCTCATATAATCTCCACTTCCAATTCTTCAGAAAAAAGTGTTAATATAATATTGTCACTAACCAAAGAAAATTTTGTTATTAATTTTTGTTATTTATATATATTCAAATTTGATCTCTTTGAAACCATTTTAATTGTATAATTCTTATTGTAATTAACTTTATTCATTTTATTTTATTCTATCATTTAAAAATATATAATTTTTAATTTGTAAGTTATTGAACTGCAGCACTGCAAGTGGAACTGCAGCACTGCAAGTGAAACTGCAGTTCAGTTCAATAGCTGCCAAAAAAGTTCAATAAATTGAACTATTGAACTGAACTGAAATGAACTATTAAGCAATGTTGGGTTCATTTTTACACATGATTTATCATGTTATTCACCCATTATTTTGAGTTAGTTCTTGACTTTTTATAGCTTTTTACTTCCTTTTTGTGTTTTTATAGATTTTACCTTGGTTAGAATGAAAATGAGCTAAAAATGATTTATTTGTTATAAATTCTGTTTTTGTTCATTTTCGTAGGTCAACTTCTTGGCCTTGGATCAACATGCTCTGATGCTGGGATGATGTGAAGATCTTCATGAAACTTGTTCCAATGGATGTTGACTACAACATATCCAAATTTGAGCTCCATTGGACAAGTATAGCATATCCAATTGATCCTACATGTTACAATAGCTCTAGAGATTTGTCTTGGGCCAGTTTTTACCTCCATAGTGTCATCTTGATTCTTTTTGTTACTATACCATTTGGTAACAAGAAATTACTTTGATGGAATGCAATTTTCTGAGACAAAGAGCATCTTGGTGAAGACAAGAACCAAAGAGCCTACCATGACATAAGAAAAGAATTAATTTAATATTGATGGGTGAGTTGAAAAGGAGGAGAGAAGGATGGGCAAAAGGAGCAAAGAGAGTGCATCAACCATTCATGGAATCACAATTCCTTTTGTAGAGATGTAGAGCAGAATTTTGGGAGCTAGAGAGCTAGAAGGAGGAGAGCAAGGAGCAACCAAGGAGAGGGGAGTATGGCATAACAATTGGAGAGAATCTTGGGGAGCCTTGAGGCAAGGATCCAAGGGGTTGAAGATATATGCAATTCTCTTTCTCTTCTGTTCTTAGTTTCTTTCATTTTATTTATTTCTTGTATTTTCTTAGTTTCAATGTAACTTCTTACTTTTCTAGGGCTTTGGTTGAAGCCCTAAACATGATTACACTTTTGTTACGTAAGTTGGGTGTTCTTGACATTCACTCTCCAACTTGAGGAGGAGTGTTAGAAAGTAAATACAATTTAGATAGGAAAGAAACCTGTAATTGATCCATATCCAATCCTTACCTTAGATGGTATTCCTAGATAGTAGGATTCCTTATTGTACAAGGAATACTTGTGTATATATTCCTGTGTTATTAATAAAACGATTATTCCAGCCAAATATCTCTTTCTACAAGTCAATCATAGGTTCAAGCTCGATCTATAAATAAACTTAGTTGAGCCAAATTCAAGCCCAAACTTGAATCGAACTTGAGCTCGAAGATTATAGTTAGACCAGTGCTTGAGTACCTTAGTAGTAAACTGACTCGGCTCATTTACACCCCTTACCTGGAACTGTCACTTGATCATAAAATGCTTTATTCGATTTGATGGTGTTATGTGCACTAATTTTCAAATCCCCCTTACTTGCACCATATACTTGATTAACATGAAATCCTCTATCCGATTTGATGTGATATGTGCATATAGTTTTCAAATCCCCGTTAATGCACGATGGAGACATATCTAAGGAGTTGGGCTACTCCCCCATTGTCAATTGGTTTTGGAGTGGAACCTCAACTTCCTTCATGGTATCAAAGCGAGTTAGCCCACGTGTAAAAGCCCAACGGCCACACATGCTCCATGTAACCAAATATGTGTTGTTCACGTGTTAGGGTTGAAAATTCGCTACATGTGCGGAAACGTGTGAGAATGTGAAGGTAAAGAGTCCCACATTGGAAAGTTGAGAAAATTAGCAAGGGCTTATAAGGAGTTGGGCTACTCCTCCCATTGCCAATTGGTTTTGGGGTGGAACCTCAACTTCCTTCAATATATCCTCAATTATATATACATGTTACATATTCATGAATTTCAGTTTTGGTCTTATGAAAAACGTATTGGATTGTCGTTCATTTTTTGAGATGAACATCTTGTTAGATAGAGATGAAGATATCTTGTGCCTTCAAAGCAAAGTCCTCCATTTATTTATATGTTAGAGGTTGATTCACACATAAATAATTGGTGAGCTGGTCAGCTATATACAGAACCATCTCCTTAAAAAGTTTGTCAATTCATTAACCATCTCTCGTTTTGAAAATTTTCCACATTCCAGTTAGTTATCATTGTCATAAGATGTTTTAACCCATCTATAAGGGTTTGATCACTGAATTCTGCTAAGCAAGAAAATAATAGAAAAGGAAAAAACATTCAAACTTAACAAATGTTTTTTTTCCAAATGAATAAACCAATATATATTTCACTCACAAAGTCTGCCAAATTGAAATCCCAAAGCAAAAGATTCACATCAAAACATATGAAATTACAGAATCATATGGATCCTCCAAAAAAAATGAACTATTAATTTCTCTATCCTCACTCAATTATTGCCCCAGTCTAAAAGAATAAGCTCTAACTATGTATATAATGCCCTCTCAAACAATTTACTTGCAGCAACCTTTCACAGTTGAACTCTCAGAAGGTGGAGCAATTCTTCGCCTTGTACCAGTACAGAACCCTCTTCTTCTTGCTTGAAGTTTTCTCAACTGTAAGAACAACCTTCCCTGGTTCATTGCTTCTGAAAGTGTTGCGGATAGGCCCTTCATTATTGGAGCCTATTTTCTTTTCTCTTCTGAACAATAATGGTGTAAGAGCCCTCATCAGCAGGACCAAACTCCTCCTTGTAATTCACTTCCCAGCCCAAAACAGTGAGGTCCCAGACTAATGTGTTATCAGCCTGTTATCAAAAAACACCATCACAACCAATACTTAGTGGAAATCCCAAGAGGAACAATCTAACAAAAATCAATAGCGTTTTATTATTTGTACCTCAGCTGCATCTATCTGAATGGTTCCAATGGATCCAACCCTAAGAATTAGTTCAGAAACAGCACAATCTTCAGAGGAGAACTCAGTGTCATTGTCCCTTTTGAAGCCACCATATTGAGATGGTATCTCCTGAGCTGGAACGTACCTGAAATTGACAATCAAAGTTCACTTGGGCAAGCTTCTAATGGAGTCAAAATGAGACCTTTGGTAGGTAAAGATGTAGAGATGTTACTTACTTGAGAAGGGTCTTAGTGACCTTAGCTGGGCGAGCAACCACAAACTTGCTTGCCCATCTGGGAGCGAGTGCAACGAAGAAAATTCCAGATCATGTATTGTAGAGGCCTCACCATCAGTAGCACAAGAGACTACATCTTCTACCTAGAGAAGCTAGAAAAGTGGAGCCATCTTTGCATGCAACTGAGACATATAAGAACACCTATAATATTTACCTTCAGAAAGTAAGATGTCAGCAATTTCATATTAACTGATTATGTACTATCATCTTCAAATATCAGTATCTATTTCTATCATTTGGAATAATGAGGTCATCATATTTTGTTTGGCCTGGGTGATCATTATAGTTTATAATCTTTATAAACTACCATTTTCTTATAGGATAAACTATCATTTGCAAACCAGTGATCTATAACCAATATCCAAAAGGCAATTCATGCCCAAGAACCAATTGATCATCATAAAAATTCCCAAAGAAGAAAAGTCTTGTAAATCACAGGTTAAGTAGCTTAGATGGTGTGGGACGTAATACAGTTAACTCCTCCTTCCACTGCCACAGGCGTTCAAATAACGGAAGAAGACGCTGCAAAATTGACAACAGCCATTCCCACTCTTCAATGAAATGTTTAGCAATTGACGCTATCCACTCCAATGCTTGTCTTCCACCCCTACTTACGACATCACTTAGAGCATGATCTAGTTTAGTTATAGTTGAAGGAAGACAGTGATGTAATATATCAAGTAGTTTCCCCGTGAAAAATGCAACTAATTTGTTTCCCTCTTCACGTGTTAGATCAGTTTGCTCTGAAACACATTTGTAATGTGATTCAAAATAGCTCCATGGTGAGGCACAATGGGCCAAATTGAGAGAAATATCATCCATATGTAAAAGCGAACTTATGACAATTCGCCATCATGATCTCCCACATATCCCCAGCCCCAACTTCATATACAAATATCTCTACTTATAAGTTATCACCACCACACACAACAAAAAATAAATAAATAGGAAAACAAATAATTTTAGATATCCAAATATATGAGTGAAAAGATGAAGTAGCAAAAAAGGATGGCAGCGCATATTAAGTACATGGTTATTTGTGAACCCCAGCTCATAGAATCAAGAAATACTTCATATATGCAGCCATGGTTGATTCAGGAAAATTTCGTTCTTACGTAATATGCAGGGGAAACCAAGTACACACAATCTGCAACAATCAAGCACTAATAACTGCTGGAAGGGCATATTACTAACTTAGAAAAGAAAAGCAGCCATAGCATGTTATCAGTGGACTTTTGCCGCACTACCCATTCACAAGATGCATAATGCATCGGCCTTTTTCCATTTCATTCCCCTCCACCTCCCCGCTCCCCGCACACACACACACACAACAAAAAAGACTCCCACAAACTTTCAAGTTACAACCAATATGATGGTAACGTATCAAAACTAACAGAATTGTAATGCAAATGCACATAAACAACAAAAAACAAAAATAAATTTAAGAGTGATTCTAGCATAGACATTTACATGATAAGGTGGAGGAGGTGGATTTACTTTGGAAAACAATAGAATTACAGTATTAGTTTCTCTTGGGGCGTGTTTGTTAAAGCATTTCAAAGACTACTTTCGTGTAACTCATGTTGATTGGACAGAGTTTTGGGCTGAATGTAATCTGATTTCATATGTCATGTCATGATTGTTGGTCTGATTTTGATGGTTTTCTACAAGATATCTTTGAAGACGAAAGAACAAAGAATTAGTTTTCCTTTCTCTGTTTTCTTTTTAGCCCATCTTTCTTGTAGGTTTTCTTTCTCTGTTTTGAATCATATAGTTTTCCTTGTGAAAACAACGAAGAAATAGACCAGAACAAGATTATTTTGAGGCTTTTGAGGACTTACCCGAAGTGGACTTTGATTTCCAATTCGAAATTCTTAACAAAAGGGTCTAACAGGTGATCTTCACATGCTATTTGTTGTTTAGCAGACAACATCAACGATAATTTCAATTCCATGATTGACCAAAATTGATGCAAGCAACAGAAGGAGCAAGATCAAGCTAATAACATAAAGAATCACAAAGATATTTTCAAAAAATCGGCCTAGATGGTGCCTAGGAGCTAGGCGCCCGCTTAGGCGGCCTGGGTGGGTATGTGCAATATAAAATTAGTTTCTTTAGGTTTTTAAATTTTTTTTTTTGTAATTAAATAAAATCTTTGCTTTATTTCAATTATTTTTATTAGTAATTATGTTTTAATTATTATTTATTTAATGAACAATTAGTATTAAATATTTTAATTAAGTTCATAAATTATATTATTTAATAAATAGTAATTATTATGTTTTAATATTTTTCATACTAACTCACAGGTTGAGTAGCTTAGATGGTGCGGCACATAATATACAGTTAATGCCTCCTTCCATTGCCACTGGCGTTCAGATAACGGAAGAAGACTCTGCAAAATTGACTTAGGCCTAGCATGTCTAGTTCAGTTATAGTTGAAGGAAGAGTGTGATGTAATATATCAAGTAGTTTCCCCGTGAAAGATACAACTAATTTGTTTCCCTCTTCACGTATTAGATCAGTTTGCTCTGAAGCACATGTGTAATGTGATTCAGAATAGCTCCATGGTGAGGCATAATGAGCCAAATTGAAAGAAAGATCATCCATATTTAAAAGCGAACTTATGATATTCGCCACCATGATCTGCATCATTACAGAAGCATTATAAAATAATTACAATGAAGAACAAGAAAAAAGATGCAGCAAACTAATAAAACTGATGACATCACAAACAAATTGAGAGCATTTAGATTTCAAAGGAAAACATGAAACTTCAAAAAGTAAACTTGAACAAAATAACCAAAACACAATCCATTTAGCAGTTGCTAATTCTCAAGCATCAGAACATGAATGATAAATAATTTGTTTTGCATGCATTTTTCGGTGATTATATTTCACACAAAACAACTTTCAAAGACAACAGGCAACCGATTTGCCCGAGGAAACATGTTAGACATGTAATTGCAAGTTCAACTTATTAGGCATAAACATGAGAAACGTGAAACCATCAACATGTTAAGAAAAGCACGTCAAATCCCAAAATGACAAAAATATGAAATACATTGAGTGCAAAACTGGTTTGCACATCTAATTTAAGGGTTGGAGAATTCCATTTTTGGGATTGGGGCATAATTCTCCCTTGGATGCATAATGCATTGGCCTTCTTCCATTTCATTCCGCTCCACCTCCCCGCCTCCAGCACACACACACACACAACAAAAAAAGACTCCCACAAATTTGCGAGTTACAACACAATATGATAGTATTATTATATTAACGTATCAAAACTAACAGAAATATCATATTAGCTTCTCCTGGGGCGTGTTTGTTTAAGCATTTCAAAGACTACTATAGTGTAACTCATGTTGATTGGACAAAGTTTTGGGCTGAATGTAATCTGATTTCATATGTCATGTCATGATTGTTAGTCTGATTTTGATGGTTTTCTACAAGATATCTTTGAAGACGAAAAGAACAAAGAAATGGTTTTCCTTTCTCTGTTTTCTTTCTAGCCCATCTTTCTTGTAGGTTTTCTTTATCTATCTTGAATAATATAGTTTTCCTTGTGAAAACAACAAAGAAATAGACCAGAACAAGATTATTTTGAGGCTTTTGAGGACTACCCGAAGTGGACTTTGATTTCCAGTACGAAATTCTCAACAAAAAGGTTTAACAGGTGATTCTCGCATGCTATTTGTTCTTTTGCAGACAACATCAACGATAGTTTTCAATTCCATGATTGACCAAAATTGACGCAGGCAACAGAAGAGGCAAGATCAAGCTGATAACACAAAGAATCACGAAGATAATTTCGAAAGATAGGCCTAGGCGCTAGGCACCCGCCTAGGCAACCTGGGTGGGTCTGGGCAATATAACATTCGTTTCTTTGGGTTTTTTTATTTTCTTTTTTGTAATTAAATAATATCTTTGCTTTATTTTAATTACTTTTATTAGTAATTATATTTCAATTATTATTTCTTTTGTGAAAAATTAGTATTAAATATTTTAATTAAATTTATAAATTATATTACTTAATGAATACTAATTAATTAATTTTTAATAATTTTCCGACTTTAATTTTCATCGGAATAAAATTTTTTTTTCGAAATAGCTAATTAATTAATTTTTAATAATTTTCCGACTTTAATTTTCATCGGAATAAATTTTTTTTTTCGAAATAGCTAATTAATTAATTTTTTTAATTGAGTAATATCTTAGTCTTATTTAATTAATGTAATTACTAATTAGCTTTTAGTTAGTTTTTTAGTTAATAATTAGTATTTAAATATTTTAATTTGTTTAATAAATTACTTATCAAATAGTAATTAATTATTATGAATTATTTTGTGCACTTAAAAACCAAGAAAGTGGTTCGAATATAGTAAGTATATATATCACAAAAGAACCAACACTTACATATAGTATATTTGATTTGCTTATTAAATTAGTTTTTGATTGACTAGTTTGTAGTAGTTGCATTTCTTCAGAATACGCAATTGATGGTTATACTCGATAAAATCCAATATCTATAGATTTGGTGTGTTAGTGCTAGAGATAGTGAGTAGGAAGAGAAACAGAAAATTAACTCATTGCTTGTTTATGTTTCTTCTTTTAAATATGCACAATGGTTTTGAACGGGACTCAGGTGATCCACATGAAGTTGTTAGATTAATTCATATGGGTCTTTTATGTGTGCAGCGTAACCCAGAAGATAGGACGAGCATGCCAGCTACAGTTCTAATGCCGAGTGGTGAAGGGTCATTGCCTCAACCTCATAAACCTTGTTCTTATAGTTAAAGGGATCTCAATGAACTCGAAGTCGGTCCTTCTTTTAAAGCGTTTTCAACAAATGAACGCAAATGCTTCATATTTGGGGCAAAGATTCATGAAGTTCCCAAATTGCGTGAGGAAGGATCTCCTAAAATGTCACTGCATTGTGCACATGTTATAAGGTATGCAATTATAGTCACTTCAATCATACTTACTTAGCCAGTTAGTGATAGGAGAAGCCAGTCTAGAATTTTTAGATTCTTTAGAGAGCATGTGTTATGTGTCGTTTTTTACCATTGTGTGATGTTGTTATGAGCAAACTGTTTCCTCATGTTCTAATTCTGTTGTGATATTTATTATGTGTAGTCCGAGATGGCTATTTCGACTTTAAAGTCTATTTTGAATCTCTATGTGATATTGTGGACAATGGTAAAGACTTCTATTTGCTTGGTTCTGATTTTGAAAGCTAT